ACATCCAATGCAACTTCAAGGCAGCAAAACTGGAAATATCCTGAATAAAGCAATCTTTGTGATATTGACACATACTGCTTCACATTAGCACATTAAAATAATTATTTCATACTTTGGGCATTTAGAACTTTAGAAGCAAGCCTCAAAATGAGTCCTTTATTTTCTGGGTGGTACTCTAAAAATCAGCCGAGGGCCCTTCCAGTAACCATTTTCCGTCAGCATTTTGGGAATTTTTGCACCATAAGGCCATGTTGATTTGATTATATGGATGACATCCGCGCGCGCATGAATTTTCGGCCGTTTCCAAAAAAAAAGTTTTCAACCATACTGTAAATCGTGCAAAACAGTTGCTAAATGAGCAAAAATATACCATAAGTTGCAAGGAAAACATTTAGAAACGATACTAATGTCGTAGAATGCCAAAATCAAAGGAAAAAGGACAAAAATGTAAAGAAATGAATTCGAAGAGTAGATTATTCGCCATAACATATTCTGTGCCATTTGTTCCACCTTCTTGACCACGTAGATTTCATAGTGAAAGCAACTTTTTTTTTTTGCAAAACTTTTTTTTTATTCGCACGCGCGCATCAGTTTTGGGGTTCCCAGAGGATGTCATCCATATAATCAAATCAACATGGCCTTAGCTTTCTTCACTCCAAGAAGGTGTAAATAGGAACCTGAGTTCCATTGCAGAGGTAAAAGGTGGTGGAAGGAAAGGGATGGGCTTCCACCTTTCAATACCATGCACAAGACATGAAGGCTTCAGAACACACTGTCCTTACATCCTCAAAAAGCCTCATTGGACCTTTGCTTTTTTCTACAGATTCCAAGCTACTAACCAAACATACTCTTACCTTCTGTAAACCTCTCCTGAACTCTTGCAAGATACTTTCTCCACATATCCCGTCACAGAGCACACAGGGATAGAGTTACTGGTCTGAGGGCAAAAACAATGAGATGTGAGAACTGGAAGTTCTGCTGCAGTACTACAGAAAGCAGGTGGGAGGGGGGGGGGCAATAATCAAACTTGTATTTTGTTTTGCTGACGTCTACCCACATGTAAAAAATATCATACATATCTGTCTTATCTTCTGCAGTTGTGGAGTCATTTCAAAACAAATCCTTAGGAGATCATTGGTGAAATTTTTAATGCGATTTTGATACTAAAAGAATTGCCTCTACGGCTCTGTCACTGAAACTTTTTTGGAAGGGGGGATCAGGGGTTTTGCATATATTTTACACAAATGCTTAAATGTCCAAACACTGCCAGACTATTTGGCAGGGAAGCAGTCAGAGGAGATGACTAGAGACAGAACAGGATGGATATTTCATTGCTTCTCCTGCTCTACTGCACAGTAACTCACTTTGTGTTAGCACTACTTAGAACATACCAGTTCAAACTGTTTGCACGGTCTGCATTTTTCAACTACTTCATATTTCTCCTGCAGCCAGCATTCTTCAGAACCTGAAGAAAAAAAGGGATGCATTAAAAAAGACAGAGTAAAATATAAACACATGTTCAGTGTTCAATGCGACTTCAAACCCTAGAAGCCAAGAGACTGTACTACATGTGCTTGCCTCTTTGTGTTTCAGTGGTTCCCAAGCAGTTTACAGTGGTTTGGTACACAAACAAGGCCGGGGTTCGATTCCCGATGTGGGAACCAGGGATTCGAACCCAGGCCACCAGCTCACGCACCCAGTGCACTATACCACAAGAAGAGAACTTCTTGATAATAAAACTTTAATATCAGTTGGACTGGTCAGTTGGTGGTGCTTGAACGCCACTGTTACACTTTGTTTTGCAGAGTTGATGTTTAATGTTCCCACAGAATCTTTTTTTCTTTTGTTTTCAGACTCTAGACTAGTTTACTAGAAAAAAAATACCTGTTTGTATGACTTACTTGTAACAGCCTGGGCAGAGCTCTTGAGCTTGGAGTTCTCAGCTGCTGACACTGATAAACACTGGAGGCTGTACAGGGACACAAACTCCTCTATTAGCTGATGATAATTTGTTATCATTTGTGAACTCTTTTATTTCAGACACATACAAATAAATACACACAGATACCTACTCAAACATACATGTACATAGACACACAAATGCCAATATTTATCATTTCTGAATTATTAGAATCTTATTGCAGACACACATACAAATACACAAGTGCTAATACACACAAAGTCATGTGCGCACAAACACACACACATGTGCACACACACACACACATACACACAGACTCAGTGACACACACACACATTATGTGAGACACACACATTCTGTCACAAACACACACATACACAGAACCCACCTTGAATACGTGAAGAATATAAGCAGCACGGGTTTCGACAGTCGTAACGAAGCCGACATGATCTTCTTCTTTGCGTAGTTGTCTCCTGTTTTCAACGTTTTATTTTTGTCCTTCAGTCCTCTAGTGACAACACACTAATACCGGTAGTAGTCACCAGTCACCATGGCCAACCGGACATGTATGTTCTAACAAGGGAGTCCTAGTAGTGCCTGGGCCTACAGTAGGTCCAATCTGCAGGCATAGCTCGTCTGTACTATCTGTTGTTCTCTTGGCTCCTGAATCTGAGGCTTGGCTGGAACAGATAAATTAAAACTGTGGCTGATGACTCAGAAAACACGAGCTTGCTTACTCACCCTCCCTCCATGTCAGCAGCGTGACCCCGAGTGACCCGCGTTCGTATTCATCCTAACGCAAATAAAAAGAGTAAAGATCCTACAAAGACATAAGATAACAGTTTTAACTGAATTTTGGTAGTTATAGAATTTTTATGGATTTTGTAGTTGTCGTTGTTTTCATAAAAATGTTAACAATGGAATTGTTCCGGGTACATGATGACCAATCATGTTCATTGCGGTCTCATGCCATCAAGAAAACAACTCTTTTCAAGAGCGTCATCTATTGGTAATTTGTATAAATGCAGAGGAATCAAGTGGCAAGAGATCGTTACTGCTTTATCTGAATACATCCAAGTCGTTATTCCAGTTGCCTGGTAAATAAAAGGAATTTTACAGTACTAGATTTCTTTTCTTGAATTTCTTGCTGTCACTTGATGGTTTTTCCCTTGGTTCTTGGATTTTAGAAGGAAATTGATAGAGCGTACAGGTGAAATGAACATGAAAGTAAAATACACGTTAAAGAAACCGACATTCTGTGATGGAGCCGAATGGCACACACACACCAGACTGGTTTGAAGATCTACAAATGTAATGCATTGCAGAACCTATCATCTTTTAGAACTTTTTTTTTTAATCAGAAAGAAAATGAAGCATTGCCATTGCGACACCCAGAACCAAAGAATTAACATGATTTTGCCTCATCATGTTGGGTACTTCATTGGTGACAATGTTTAGTAATTATATGGCAGTTTCTCTACACAGTGTAGTAGCATCAACAGAACGCTATATTGAATGAATGAAGACCTTCAATTATTGTACATTTTGCTCCATTGGGCTAAGCACAGGCCACAGCCTAACAGTCATATACAATGTATATAGATTAGATGTATATATAGACGTCTAGTATACACAAGTGCTTTCGACTTCCTCTCGTTTGTTGGTAATTGTATAAATGCAGGAGGCTGTATGATTAGTTATGGTTGGTTTACCGAAGGCTGCAAGGAATGTAAATTACTACGTACTAGTATTCAAATTTCTAAAATAAGATTTACTTTTTAAAATTCAAAAAGAATGCTTCTAAAGCTATCATACAAAGGACAATCTACAGTAAATGCACCTTGTCTTCTACATTACCTATTAAAACTAGAAAATTGGCAGATTCAGTCTTTGCATGACAAAGAAACTATATTAACAGAAACCGCAGGGGTAAAACAGCCACAGAACACACATGATACAACATGGATGAAATGATTGACATGTTTTGCTCACTCTGGTGTTATGAATAGCTGTGCCAGGACTGGTGTTGAAACTTTCAATGCTGGGACTCAAAAAAAGCAATTGCCATCTCTGTGTGTAATTTTAATGAGAAAGAATATCTTCATAAAGGCATGTAATTGGTTTCTTCACTCTGATGTATCGATTCGTCTTGTCAATGACGTGATCTAGCCGGAGGGGTGAAGTCTTCTGTCACGAGGCACAGGGGGAAAACAAACGTGACACACGTAGAGAGAGGGAAAAAAACTGCATGCCAACCGCCACAGGATGGAGAAAGAATCCCAGCTTGGTGCACACAATGTGAGGCTGTTGGGATGATTGGCATAGCTTTCCGGGCTTGGAATGTTGCCCGTCATAAACGTCTTGTGTTGAAGCCTTGCCTTTCAAAGCTGACGAGCAAAACAATTTTTGTATAGCTATAGAGAGAGAGAGATAGAGAGACTGCAGACGGCGTTGCTTACGTGAACACTGTCAAACACTCTCGGCAACTTCTTGTCTTTCGGGTGTACGTTGTCGTCTCGTACAGTGATTTTGAGTATCTGGAAATGCTGCCCAATAGACTTCTCCCTCTCTCTTGTTGAAAGCTTAAAGCATCTGTCAGCCCACAGGTACTGGTTTGACCTTTTCTGCCAATTCATTTCTGACAGATGATTCCCCATCCCCCATGGATTGCGTGTTTGATTACAAATGTCATGAAGAAGTCATTCAGAGTCAGACAAATGATATTTTAATGGTGTTGTTTGTAAGGGTGATGTAAGTGACAAAAAAAATAACATAACCTTTTTCATCACTCACTCTCAATATGTCAAGAGACTTATTAAAGTTGTCGCTGCCCAGCGTATGACAATTCTCCATCAAAACAACCTCGGCCAGTCAAGAGACTTGTAAGCCTGTATAGTAGTCCATAGTTTGAAGCACCCTGAGCTTTCCTGTACTGCGTACTGCTGAAGTGGTACATTAGCCACTTGCTTGTAAATGTTCTGCCCACTTTTTTGGGCGCCTCACCAAGACGTTGTCGGCCCGGTTCAGATAACAAGGTTTGTTTTTGATGTTATTAAATATGAAAAGTCTAATGATGGCCACATGTCAGGCAGGTTTGAACATCTGTAGGAATCGTACTTCAAACGTCAGTCTCTTTTTCTTTCCGGCTTTGTTTTTCTTCTTCCTCATTATTTCTTTTCTTCACGGTGTGTCCATAAAGATCTTTGAATGAGTCGTGGAAGAAAACTGTTGATCGTGGCTTGTGAGAGAAGGAAGAACTGAGCATTTCAGAAAACTTTATTTTTCAGACCACCTGTTCAGTACCCCGTACATATTATACTAAGACGATTCTTTGTTGTAAAAGTAATGTCTGGTGACTACTACTTGTAGAAAATCTCTTCCTCTGAACCGTCCGTTCCTCGATCTGCCTGCTCCCTCCGTCCCTCCGTCCCTCCGTCCCTCCGTCC